ATCTATGTCAAATGAGTTGCAGAGACAAAACGAATTATTTGATAATGCGAAAGATATCCTTAATCACATACAAGAGTTGTATGGTGAAAGGACGAGGCAAATGAGATATCAAATATCTAAAGAGCTTTTCAGGTGTCGTATGACTGAGGGTTCTTCAGTTCAAGATCACAGACTAAAGATGATAGCCCTTATTGAAAGGCTAACATCCCTTGGAGTCGTTATGGATAACGAACTCTATGTGATCTTTTGCTTCAATCTCTGCCACCATCATTTGACACATTTGTTGTTAATTTTAACATGCACAGTATGGAGACTTCACTCCCAGAACCGGTCAATATGTTAAAAACCATCGAATCCACAATTAAAAAGGATAAGTCGGTGCTTTATATTGGATCTTCTTCCAAATCAAAGGCAGAAATATCTAAGAAGAGGAAGAAGAAGGGAAAGGTTCCCGTGTCTAATAAGAAAGCAAATAACAACAAAGGGAATAACAAGGTTAATCTCAAATCAAATCAAGAATGTTATCATTGTGGCAAAAATGGGCATTGGAAGAGAAACTGCAAGGAATATCTTGCAAGCCTGAAAAGTTCAGGTATTTATTTTGTTGAAGTTAACTTATCAGTTAATGATTCTTCTTGGGTATTAGATACCGGCTGTGGCTCACATATATGTAATGAGTTGCAGATGATGGCAAGAAGCAGGAAACTAGAGCATGATGAAACAATTCTGAGGACGGGCAATGGAGCAAGAGTTGCTGCATTAGCTGTTGGGACTGTTAATCTAGTTATGAATGGTGGTAATTGTTTAAGTTTGAACAATTGTTTGTATGTTCCAGAAATAATAAAGAATATCATCTCTATTCCAGTTTTGGATAGAGAGGGATATAAGTTTGTTATCGGAAAAGGGAAATGTTCCATTTTTCAAGATACATCTTTTATATATTCTGGAAATTTAACAAATGGTTTGTATACCATTTCACCACAAAGAAACATCCTAACAATTCAACAAAATAAAAGAAAAATAGATAATCATAGTTCATTCACACTTTGGCATGCTAGATTAGGTCATATATCTGAAAAGAGGATTCACAAATTAGGACTTAAACTCAACCTTAGGGGAGAGGATAAGTTACCTACATGTGAATCATGTCTTAGAGAAAAAATGACTAAATCACCATTTGTTGGACAAGTGGAGCGAGCTAAAGGTTTATTGGATTTGATCCATACAGACGTTTGTGGACCACTAAATGTTAGTGCAAAGGGGAACTATCACTAAGTCATAACCTTTACTGATGATCATTTTAGGTATGGTTATGTATACCTTTTAAGGTATAAATATGAAGTATTTGAAAAGTTCAAAGAATTCAGAAATGAAGTAGAGAAACAAACTGGTTGTTATATTAAAACTCTTCGATCAGATCGAGGAGGTGAATATTTGACTAATGAGTTTCTAGATTATCTAAAGGATAATGGGATTCTATCACAATGGACTCCTCCTGGAACTCCACAACTTAATGGGGTTTCAGAAAGGAGAAATCGAACATTGTTGGACATGGTTCGATCAATGATGAGTTCCACTACACTACCTCTTTCATTCTGGGGCTATGCCTTAGAAACAGCTGCACATATTTTGAATAGAGTGCTAAGTAAAGTTGTGCCTAACATACCTTATGAGATATGGTATGGTAAAACCCCTTATATGAAAATATGGGGTTGTGATGCTTATGTGAAGCAGCAAGTGGGAGTTAAGTTGGATATGAGATCCATCTTATGTAAATTTGTGGGGTATCTAAAAGAGTCTATAGGATATTATTTCTATGATCCCTCAGAACAAAAGGTGTTTGTTTCGAGGAATGCTGTTTTCTTAGAAGAAGAGGTTCTTTCTAAAGAAAACAATGAGATTATAGAACTTAATGAAGAACCACAAATTATTCCACAAATTGACACAGATAACATACAAGTAGAAACTGGGCAAAGTGAAACACAACCTCTTCGGAGATCCATGAGGGTTTCCAAGGTATCTGATAGATTGTACCTATTGTTAAAGAACAATGAAGAGGGACTTCTTTTGGATAATGATCCAATAAGCTATGAAGAGGCAATGTTAGACATTGACTCTAAGAAATGGCAAGAAGCTATGCAATCCGAAATGGACTCTATGTACTCTAACAAGGTATGGACCTTGGTAGATCCACCAGAGGGTATTGTACCCATTGGCTGTAAGTGGGTCTATAAGCGAAAGCTTGGAGTTGATGGGGAAGTAGGGACTTATAAAGCAAGACTGGTTGCAAAAGGTTATACTCAAAAACAAGGAATTGATTATGAGGAAACTTTTTCACCAGTAGCAATGCTTAAATCTATTCGGATTTTACTAGCCATAGCTGCGTATTATGACTACGAGATATGGCAAAAGGATGTAAAGGCTGTTTTTCTTAATGGAAACATTAAGGAAGATATTTATATGAAACAGCCATAGGGCTTCATATCCAGTGGGAGTGAGCAAATGGTTTGCAAACTTCAAAGGTCCATTTATGGACTTGAATAAGCTTCAAGGAGTTGGAATATCCGGTTTGATGAAACAATCAAAACGTTTGATTTCATAAAAATCCGGATGAACCATGTGTTTATAAAAAGGTTAGTGGAAATGCAGTAACATTTTTAGTGCTCTATGTTGATGACATTCTTCTCATTGGGAATGATGTAGGAATGCTTCAGTAAACAAGGACATGGTCGTCTAAACAGTTCTCCATGAAAGACTTGGGAGAAGCATCCTTTATCCTAGGGATAAAAATCTATAGAGATAGATTTAAAAGAATGATTGGACTTTCCCAGTCAATGTACATAAATAAGGTGCTAAAACGATTTAGCATGGAAGAATCTAAACGTGGATATCTTCCAATGAGTCATGGGGTTTCATTTTCTAAGGAAATGTCTCCAAAGACGCCTGAAGAAAGAGAACGGATGAATCATATACCTTATGCATCAGCTATTGGTAGCATTATGTATGCCATGTTATGTACAAGACCTGATGTGGCTCATGCACTTAGTGTAACGAGCAGATATCAGTCTAATCCAGGTGAAGAACACTGGAAAGCCGTTAAAATGATCCTTAAGTACTTAAGAAGAACTAAGGATATCTTTATGATATACGGCAACAGAGAATTGAAACTAGAAGGATTTACTGATTCTAGTTTTCAATCTGATAAAGATGACTCTAAATCAATGTCCGGATACGTTTTCACCTTAAATGGAGCAGCAGTTAGTTGGAAAAGTTCCAAACAAGAAACAACTGCTGACTCTACAACTGAGGCTGAATATATTGTTGCATCAGATGCTGCAAAAGAAGCTGTTTGGATACGGAACTTCATCCAAGCGTTGGGTGTAGTACCGTCTGTTTTTGATCCAATAAAGATTTATTGTGATAACAATGAGGCTATTACGCAAGCGAAAGAGCCAAGATCTCATCAAAGATCCAAAAAATATTGAGACGATACCATTTGATTAGAGAAATCATTGGTAAAGGCGACATCGTTATGGATCGAGTTGACTCAGCAGAAAATATTGCAGATCCCTTAACAAAGCCCTTATCACAAAAAGTATTTGAAGGACATCTTGAGATGATGGGTCTTAGATATATGAGTGATTGGAACTAGGGCAAGTGGGAGATTGTTAGAGTAGAATACCATGTGTTCTAATCAGATTGGATCTATTCTACTTCATTATATAATCTAATGGTATTTATATATTGTACGAGACATTAATTTATCTTATGTATAAGCATTTTATATTATATTTATACATATATAAAGTCCTTAGATCATAATAAGCTACAAAGATATGGTTACGCATAGAGATGGTAATCATGGAACATGTCTTTAAAGCTGTGATCTTAAATAAAGTTCCAAGTCGTTGGGTATTTCGAGATAGGATATCGAATAACCCAGTAAGACTTGCACATATGATATATGCTTATCGGGTAAGAATGTTGTATTCCATCAACATTAGCATGTGATGCAAGTATATATATGTGGATGCTTGTTAGGAAACAAGTTCATTGAACATAACCGTATGAAAATTCTTAAATGGAAGTGTTTCTTGTTGAATAAGAATTTTCATGTTACAATAGTACATGATTAATCCTTAGACTTGAGGCACAATGGTAATTTTGTGCATATTGTACTTTACTTTGATTTATCCTTTGATTGCAAGGACAATCAATAAAAGGATATTTTGGGTATTATATTAATATGTATGGAGATTTGTTAGTGGCCAACAGAGGATTTGACAACACTTATGAGATAAGTGAATTTTCTATATTTTTCATAGTTTGTGATTCGAAGTCCTTGGCCAAGGCAGTATGAATGGAGATTCATAAGAGAACCACGAAACTTGAAATGAAATCATAGTTATTAAATCAATATGGGTTTCGACTAAAAACCATACACATGATTTAATCGGGAAATTAGTTGTCGAAAGGATTTTACATGTATGTAATTGTAATTGAAAAATGTTTACTCGCTATTCACTTATTACTAGGTGATCATGCTACTTGCTAGGTGTTCCCATGATTTGTGGGTTCTTGAAATTAAAGGGTTAATTTCAAGAATAAGAGTTAATATGATTAATTCAAATTACAAGTAAGTTGTAAACCCACTACTAGTATTAATAATGAACCTAAAAGGTCACACCAATATTTGAAAGAAAACAAGATAAAGTGATATTTCTAAAGGGTTAGAATTAATTGATAATGATTAATTAAATAATATGATTATTTAATTAATTATCTAATTATGAATTAGATGTCAATTAAAGGAATATTATAAATTAATCAATTGGATTGATTAATTGAATTTTGGATATTAATTAAGTAATTAATGTAATTACTAAATTAATAGTTGGATTTTAAAATATGATTTTAAAATTCAAATCCAAAATAATAATATGATTATTATAAAGAGGATAATATTATAATTGGGAGAAAAGATTATTTTAATAAAATCTTGAAAAATATTTTTAAGAATTATTATTTTATTATTTTATTTTAATATGATTAAAGATTAAAATAATGAAAAGACAAAATAATTGTGGTAGATGGTGGTTATGAACCACTTCACATAATTAATTTAAAGTCAATATTTGGTGAGATTATTTAATAAAATCTGATTTTATTTAAAATAAATAATTACCAAATGTTGATTATTTTATACTAAAAAGTTTAGTATAAATAGGTGCAAAATGTTTGCACATATTTGCTATGTTTTTGAAATTTTTCAAGAGTTGAAAAAGAGAGAGAAAAAGAAGAATTATTCTTCAAGATAAAAATTTAAGAAAGAGTTCTTAAATAATAAAAGAAAAAAAAAATTATCTCCCAATTAAAATCCTCTAATTAATATTCCTATATCAA